GATCCTGGAACTCCTTCCAGGTCTCCCACATGGGTAGCAGGTGCCCAAGCTTGGAGTTATTTTCCCCTGATTTCTCATGTGCATTAGCAGGGAGCTGGATCAAAGTGGAGCAGTCGGGACTTGAACTGGCGCTGCCAGTGATGCAGGTAGTGGCTTAACACACTGTACCACGATGCCAGCCTTCCTATTTCCTCTTACGTGGGCAGTTCAGGTAATATGTTGTAACAACTCTCTATCGTGATTCGTCCTCCCTCTCTCTGGATTTCTGTGACCTCCGGTGGCTTATTTATTTATTGAGTGACTTGGCTGGGCTATTTCAGTGAATTCTGTTTCCTTTCAATGTGAATGCTCTCGTGTCCACACCCCCTCAGCCATCCCAGCAGCACAGCCTTGGACATAGTCGAAGTCTTTCTGTTGTGGGGTGGCCTCTGGCTAGGCTTGGTCTACATTCTCCTCTCCATTGCAAGAAAGGATTCAAGGAGGAGATGGAAATAGCAGAGAAGCAAGGTTTATCTGAAGCAAAACAAAACTACGCACTCAAGGAATAAATGCAGGCAAGCTCAAGAAAGAACGAGAGGTTCTTAACAAGGTTTGGAGCGATCCTTTTATACTATCAGGAAGCACAGGGGGAGGTGTTCAGGTCAGGAGTTAACTGAATATTCAAAGAGAGAGGAGTTTTAGTACAGGCTTGAGTTCTGCCCATTTCCGTGCCCTTTTTTGGAAATCACAGAAGTGTCATGGTGTCAGGCACATGATAGAAATGGGAATGCCGGCCATTATAACTTTATTATAATGGCCCAAAGGTCATCATGGGGGCGTAGCCAAAGCCATATTGGATATTTCCAGCTTGGAGGGGCGGGTTCTAAGTTTGCAACATAGGGAAACCAGCTGTTTCTGCTATACAGAAGGGGTGAGGAGGCTGGGGCAGTGCATGCAAAAGGTGGTTGGATGCTACAGACAGGGCTGTCACATTGGGCTGGCTGCAGCTGCCAATCTGGTCGGTTGGGGCTTCCACACAGGCCCACCAGAGCTGTCCCAATGCAGGCCATGCTCCCGTGCTGTGAACCACACAGGGCTGCAGCAGGCTGAGCACGGCACCAGGGCTCTGCTGTCCAACCTTGGTTCCTCTTGCTCTCACTACCCTCCTGCCTTCATGATCTGTCCTCATCCCCTTAGAGATTTTAGTTCCTTCATCTTAACCGGAAGTAGAAGGAGGAAGGCCCATCTTCTGTGACTTCATGTTAGGGCATCATCCCTGTGTAGCTCTGAAATCCCTTGCTAACTTATCTAGAGATTCTATTTGAGGAGCTCGAGGTTTGCCACCAGCCATTAGTAATGGAATCCCTGCAGGACCATTATTTCTACATGAAATTTTTGAATTCTGGAAGATACTAATTTGACCGTTAGGATGAGTATATGTGAGCTTAAAAGGAATAGGAGTAAGAATCATGTCAGAAAAGGGAAAACACCTTTTATTGCTCCCCAGCCGGTGGAAGCTGAGAGACTTCCCTTACCAAAGTCATGGAACCACTTGGCTTGATCGTAAAACCTTTCAGTATCTTTCTCTATGAGTGCACTGTTGTTCATGAGAGTGCTGCAGGTTTTACTAGTCACTGCACATATTCCACCTTGTCTGCCCGTGGATAATCTGATAATCTAGGGTTACCCAGTTGTCCATGACCACTTGAGCTACAGATTCTAAAGAATCACGGAGTTGCTGGAGGGACTGGCCAGTGGTTTGGGCTAAGCTGCCCACAGCAACAGACAGGTTTCTTAAAGCAACTTCATGGTGTGCACTAAGATTTTTTCCAATTATGATGGAGAAGTTTACCAAGGAGTTTTCCTGCCTATAGCAGTTTCACAAGAAAAAAAAATAGAAGGAAAATCATGTCCATGTGGAAGTGCAATAGCCTTAATGTCTCTCTCTCTAGTGAGAAGGGCATAGTAAAAGCAGAGGTTTCACTAATTTTTTACTCTTTTGGAGATAAACCTGAGGTCCTCGAGAGAGAAGGCAGACTGGCTGTGCCTGCAAGCTCCAGGGTCACGTGGGGCTCCAGGAGTATGACGATCGTATGGGAGCAGGAGCCACCTGGGTTCCCGGGCCCCACAGTTGTCAGATAAGGACATAAGGGAACTGGGGGTCCACCTCTCTCTTTGGAGCTGAGGGTAACCTCATTTCCAGTGTCCCTCTTACCTCTTATTTACATTGGGGCAGGAGCCTGATAGGCATTCGCACCCATGCCCCAGCTCCCCACACTCAGAACATTCCCTCTTGGGCTTTTCAGGCGTGGTTGGAAGCCTCCGGGGTTGTGCCTTTGGTTGCAAGGGGCTGGATACATGGCTGCTATCCTAGGAGCCTGCTGGCTGGGTACTGCTTCCTGCATGGAGCCCCTTTTCCTCTTCAGCCTTGTCTCTATAGGAAGCACCCCAAATGCTACACCTGGCTCCTGGAGTTCAGGGTCTGATGGCCAGTTTCTGGAGCTTCCTTCAAATATCCATGCCTGACTAACAGGTGAAATGGGTACCAAGCTCTAGCTGTACTTCAGGAGGGCTCATCAAGGCCTCTACCCGCCATCCCTGGAGAAGGCTGGGTTCCCTTCCATCTGTTGCTCCTCTGTAGCTCATGTCTCTAAGAGGGCAGGGGCAGAATACAGTCTACAGGTCCTTCTAAGGGCGGGGCTTCGAAAGAATGCCACAGATACCTGGATGTGAGGAATTTCTGACCGACTTATAATAGAAGTCAAGGTGAAGTTAATATTAGAGGGTCGGGCTGGCATAGGGCACTGTGGAGTAGCAGGTAAAGCTGCCACCTGCAGTGCTGGCATCCCATATGGCGCTGGTTTGAGTCCCAGCTGCTCCACTTCCAATCCGGCTCTCCACTAATGGCCTGGGAAAGCAGTAGAAGATGGCTTGAGTGCTTGGGCCCTGTACCCATGTGAGAGACCCGAAAGAAGCTCCTGGCTCCTGGCTTTGGATCGGACCAGCTCCAGCCATTGTGGCCAATTGGGAAGTGAACCAACGGAAGGAAGACCTCTTTTTTTTTAACTTTTATTTAACAAATATAAATTTCCAAAGTATAGCTAATGGATTACAGTGGCTTCCCCCCTCCATAACTTCCCTCCCACCCGCAACCCTTCCTTCTCCCGCTCCCTCTCCCATTCCATTCACATCGATTGATTTTCAATTATCTTTATATACAGAAGATCAATTTAGTATCTATTAAGTAAAGATTTCAACAGTTTGTACCCACATAGAAACACAAAGTGTAAAGTACTGTTTGAGTACTAGTTATAGCATTAACTCACATTGTACAACACATTAAGGACAGAGATCCTACATGAGGAGTAGTGCACAGTGACTCCTGTTGTTGACTTAACAAATTGACACTCTTGTTTATGGCATCAGTAATCACCCGAGGCTCTTGTCATGAGTTGCCAAGGCTATGGAAGCCTTTTGAGTTCGCCAACTCCGATCTTATTTAGACAAGGTCATAGTCAAAGTGGAAGTTCTCTCCTCCCTTCAGAGAAAGGTACCTCCTTATTTGATGGCCCATTCTTTCCACTGGGATCTCACTCGCAGAGATCTTTCATTTAGGTTTTTTTGGTTTTGGTTTTGGTTTTGGTTTTTTTGCCAGAGTGTCTTGGCTTTCCATGCCTAAAATACTCTCATGGGCTCTTCAGCCAGATCCCAATGCCTTAAGGGCTGATTCTGAGGCCCGAGTGCTGTTTAGGACATCTGCCATTCTATGAGGAAGACCTCTCTCTATGCCTCTCTTTAACTCTGCCTTTCAAATAAATAAATCTTTAAAAAATCCCTAAAAGTTATCAGTTGAAGGAAAGTTAGAAGGCCCTTTATAGAGAGAGGGAAGGAGAGAGAAATCCTCCACTCACAGGTTCACTGTCCAAATGACCACAACAGCCACAGGTAGGCCATGCTGAAACCAAGAGCCAGAGACTCCATCTGCATCTCCCATGTGGTGGCAAGGACCCAAGTAGCTGGGTCATTTTCTGCTGCTTTCCCAGACACATCAGCAGGGAACTTGATTGGATGTGGAACAGGTAGCACTCCAATGAGTACGCAAACAGCATGCCAGTGTCAAGAGTGGTGGTTTAACCCACTGCAGCACAATGCCAGCCCCAGAAGGCCCTTTTCTGATGAATATGGAGGAACTATCAAATGCAGTATTCCTTAAAACACCCATCAGTCGCAATCCAGGACCACACCCAGACCCATTTCTGGGCTTCACCAGCAGGAGACAACAACACTGTAACAAATGGTAAAGAAAAAAGAACCCTAAAGTAAATGGGGGGAGATGGCATTGTGTCTCAGTGTGTGAAGCCGCTGCTTGCAACAATGGCTTCCCAGACCAAGGTGCAGCTGGAGTCCTGCAAAAAGGCTGGAAGATTAGAAGGTGTAAGAAAAAAGGAGTTAGACAAAGCAGACAGTCCAAGAAAACAAAGACCCTGCAGACTCTGCACAGCTTGGAAGCAAATTCCAGTCACTCTTACAAACCTTCTTCATGGGGCTGGCATTGTGGCATAGTAGGCTAAGCTTCTGTCTGCAGTGCCTGCATCCCACATGGACGCCGGTTGGTGTTCCAGCTGCTCTTCTTCCAATCCAGCTGCTATTGCCTGGGAAAGCAGTGAAAGGCAGCCCAAGTGCTTGGGCCCCTGCACCCACATGGGAGACCCGGAAGAAGCTCCTGGCTCCTGACTTCATTTCAGCCCAGCTCCAGCTGTGGCAACCATGTGGGAAGTGAGCCATAACTCTACCTCACAAATGAATAAATAAAATCTTTTAAAAAAATAAAAAAAAAAACCTTCTTCACAAAGGATCTTCACAGTATCAGTTCTTGGTCTTCCCACCTACAACAGTTGCTAAGAGGAGCAGGTACATTTCAGTTAGAGGGGTTTGTCTATAATGAGCCAGAACAGGAGAGAAAGGCTGAAAGAAACTAAGACTCTCAAGCGCAAGGGAGACAAGAGTCAGGCAAAACTCACCAATCAATTGTAGTGTGGGCTCTCGGCTCTCGCTCCAGGCTCCTGGCTGAATTGCCACTCATTTGCTGGGGTGGCCCCTGGCTACGCCTGGTCCTGGTTCTTCTCTCTGTTGCAAAAAAGAATTAAAGGAGGAGATGGAGATAAAGGTGAGCAGAGAAGCAGGTTTTTGTTGTTGTTGTTTTTTGTCTTTTTTTTTACTTGAGAGGCAGAGTTAGTTAGAGAGAGAGACAGACCAGAGAGAAAGTTCTTCCAAGTGCTGGTTCACTCCCCAAATGGCCACAATGGCCAGAGCTGAGCTGATCCAAAGCCAGAAGCCAGGAGCTTCTTCCAGGTCTCCCACATGGGTGCAGGGGCCCAAGCACTTGGGCCATCTTCTGCTTTCCCAGGCCATTAGTGGAGAGCTGGATTGGAAGTGGAGCAGCTGGGACTTGAACCAGTATCCATATGGGATACCGACACTACAGGCAGCAGCTTAGCCTACTATGCCACAGTGTCAGTCCCTGGAGCTGCCTTTTTATACTACAGAGGCATACAGAGTGGTTTCTGGATCAGAGTTTAGCTGAATATTCAATATCTGGGGGAGGAACCTAAGTACCTCCCATTCTCATACCCTTTTTCCAGGAATTCTTAGAAATGTCAAGGACTCAGGTGCATGATGGAAGAGGGAGTGTTAGTTGTAGCAATTCTATTATAATGATAGTATAATGACCTGAAGGTCATTTGGGGGCACAGCCTGCAGTCATATTGAATGTTTCCAGCTGGTACTGGTTCTAAGTTTGCAGCATAGAGGGACTTTGGTTTCCACAGCACAGAATGGTAGGCGGCAGGGTTAGGGCACTGGGGAACTACACTGGGGAACTACAGTGACAGAAGGGGAACTACAGAAGGGAGATTTGAGTAGCACCTGGGAAGGAGTTTTGACATGCAGACCAGGTTGTCATGTGGGTTGTGTGCAGACCAGGTTGTCATGTGGGTTGTGTGGCTGCCACATGGGCTGGCCTGATTCGTCATGACACGGGCTACACTGCTATGCAGGGGGCCATGCAGGGTGCAGCAGGCAGAGTAGGGTAGCAGGGTGGTGCTGGCAAACCTCTGCTCCTCTTGCTCTCCCTGCCTCCATCATTTATGGGCCACTGTGGTTTTAGAGGGCTGTCTGATTACCCTTTTCCTTGGTTTATTAAAATGTCTCCTTCTGTTGGTCTAACACACAGCTGTTAGGCTCTTCTAATTGCTGGCTAATTGCTACTGTTTTTGACAATATCCTGGAGCATAAATTGCCAGGTCTCAAACTGGCGTCCATGTGGGATGCTGTCACTGCAGGCAGCAGCTTTACCTGCTACATTACAGCATAAGCCCTTTTTTTAATATTTTATTTTATTTATTTGAGAGGTAGAGTTACAGACAGTGAGAGGAAGAGACAGAGAGAATGGTCCTCCATCTGCTGGTTCACTCCCCAAATGGCTGCCAACGGCCAGAGCTGAGCTGATCCAGAGATAGGAGCTTCTTCTGGGTCTCTCACATGGGTGCAGGGGCCCAAGGACTTGGGCCATCTTCTACTGCTTTCCCAGGCCCTAGCTGAGAGCTGGATCAGAACAGCCAGGACCAGAACTGGCGTCCATATGGGATGTTAGCACTACATGCAGAAGATTAACCTACTGCACCACAGCAGTGGCCCCTCTCTTTGTTTATTTTTAAAGATTCATTTACTGGGGCTGGCGTTGTGGCAGAGCTGGTTAAGCCGCTGCCTGTGATGCCAGCATCCCATATGGGTGCATTTCAAGGACAGGCTGCCTCACTTCCAATCCAGCTCCTTGTTAATATGCCTGGGAAAGCAGTGGAGGATGGTCCAAGTCCTTGGAGCCCTGACACCTACATGGGAGACCCCAAAGAAGCCCCTGGCTCCTGGCTCGGCCCAACCCTGGCTGTTGTGGCCATTTGGGGAGTGAACCAGTGGATAGAAGATCTCTGTCTCTCTCTTTCTACCTCTCGTTCTCTTTCAGTAACTGTCAGGAAGGAAGGAAGGAAGGAAGGAAGGAAGGAAGGAAGGAAGGAAGGAAGGAAGGAAGGAAGGAAGGAGAGAATACAGAATACAAACTGTGGTGGTATATTAAAAAACATTTAATTAAAAAAACATGCTAATAGGCCCGGCACCATGGCTCAATAGGCTAATCCTCCGCCTGCGGTGCCGGCACACCAGGTTCTAGTCCAGGTCGGGGTGTTGGATTCTGTCCCGGTTGCCCCTCTTCCAGGCCAGCTCTCTGCTGTGGCCAGGGAGTGCAGTGGAGGATGGCCCAAGTGCTTGGGCCCTGCACCCGCATGGGAGACCAGGAGAACCTGGCTCCTGGCTTCGGATCAGTGCCATGCGCTGGCCACGGTGCACCAGCCACAGTGCACCGGCCACAGCGCGCCGGCCGCAGCAGCCACTGGGGGGTGAACCAACAGAAAAGGAAGATCTTTCTTTCTCACTGTCCACTCTGTCAAAAAAAAAAAAAATGCTAATAGATGCTGATTTTTATGGAAGCTTTTTTCTGATTCTTTTGAAATGATCATGCAATTCCTCCATTTAAGGTGCTTTGCTACCAATTTTGCATCCTAAGTGAGAGGAGGGATGGACAAGAAGGAGTAGGATTGGTTAGCTCTTGGAAGTCTCAGAGAAGGCCTGTGTTTGGCATGCTGGGTAAACAGTAGAACTGTAGCTCAGTTCTCAGCAGTAGTTAGGGAAGTTTCTAACCCATGGGCCTGAGCACTCAGAATCCTGCGCAGCCTCTCATGCAGGAGGAATGCAGACCAAAGAGACAATCCCTCCAGAGGAGTGAGGCCCTCAAGGCCTGAGAGGGGGTGTGGTCTGGCAGAAATGCGGGGTCTGGAGGAGACAGGGGACACTTGTGTGACTACAGATATCAGTACTGGATGGCCCTGGAACTGGCAGGACCAACTACACTAAGCCAACAGGGAAGAGATCAGAGCAGCCCAAGTGTTGGGGCAGGAGTTGGGTGCAGCGGTCAAGTCGCCCTTTGGGATGCTTGCACCCCTTACTGGAGTGCCTGCTAGTGTGCACCCTGGGGGTCAGCGGTGATGGCTCAAGTACTTGGGTTCCTACCACTCTTATGGGAGACTCAGCTGGAATTCTGGGCTCCTGGTTTCGACCTGCTCAGCCCCGGCTGTTGCAGGCATTTGGGAAATGAGCAGCAAACGGAGGGGTGTGTGTGTGTGTTTCTCTGTCACCCTGTCTTTCAAATAAGTGAAAAATAAAATCTTTGAGTGGGTGTTGTGGCACAGCAGGTTAAGCAACATCCCACATCAGGGCGATGATTAGAATCCCGGCTGCCCAGCTTCTGAGCTACCTTCGTGCAAATGCACCTAGCAAAGCAGTGGAGGGTGGCCCCAAGTACTCGGGCCCCTGCCACCCATGAGGGAAGCCTGGACTGAGGTTCTGACTTCTGCCTTCAGCCTGGCCCAGCCCTAATCATTATGGCCATTTGGGGAGTAAACCAACAGGTGGAAGATCTCTCTCGCTTTCTCTCCTTATCTGTTACTTTCACTTTCAAATACATAAATCTTTTTTTAAAAAAAGAGTTGTCCATACAAAAATCAAACATATGGAAAAAACGTTGATTTCGAAAGTATGACAGTCTACATCTGAAATCTATGTCATCTGAAATTTCCTAATATCATCTGGGACTACTGAAATTTACCACAGCTTTTAACAGAAGACTGGATAATGTCTTTCCAGAATAACTAGTATGATGGATTGTCTTGAGGCAAATTACTTGGCAAGACATGAGGAAAAGATGTGAAAGCTTGATAACACATGAAGAACTTTACTGCCAAAGAATTTTATGCACACTTTTTTTTAGCTTATTTTTGTGTTGTGTACACATAAAGAACTTTTAAAAATTTAAAGAGCCAGCATTGTGGTACAGTGGGTTAAGCTGCTGTTTGCAAAGCCAGCGTCCCTCATCAAGAGTGCCAGTTTGAGTCCTGACTGCTCTGCTTCTGATCCAGGTTCCTGCTAACGTGGTAATGAGGAAGGCAGAGGACAAAGGCCTAAATATTGGATCCCAGCCGCTTGGATGGGAGAGTGGATGGAGTTCCTGGCTTCAGCCCGGCCCTTGGAGAATCAACCAAGGAATGAAAACTCTGTCTCCCTCTTTCTGTCACTGCGCCTTTCAAAGTCCTCAGTCCACACCACTCTGTAGCTCAGTTCTCATGCTTTTCTTTAGAGCGTCAAAACACACTGTTTTTCAAAAATCTGCATTGAGAAGGATTTAACAAAAACCAAGCGCTGGGCCGGCGCCGCGGCTCACTAGGCTAATCCTCCGCCTAGCGGCGCCGGCACACGGGGTTCTAGTCCCGGTCGGGGCGCCGGATTCTGTCCCGGTTGCCCCTCTTCCAGGCCAGCCCTCTGCTGTGGCCAGGGAGTGCAGTGGAGGATGGCCCAGGTGCTTGGGCCCTGCACCCCATGGGAGACCAGGAAAAGCACCTGGCTCCTGGCTCCTGCCATCGGATCAGCGCGGTGCGCCGGCCGCAGCGCGCCGGCCGCGGCGGCCATTGGAGGGTGAACCAACGGCAAAGGAAGACCTTTCTCTCTGTCTCTCTCTCTCACTGTCCACTCTGCCTGTCAAAAAAAAAAAAAAAAAAAAAAAAAAAAAAAAACAACCAAGCGCTTCTCAACCTTCTCCCCGGACTTGCACTTACTCTACCACAATGTAACCATTTCTTGGGTGTCTATTTCAAACACATTTTATGACCATCCTAGGAAACACGCGTGAGTATTATATACCCACTATGTGTGCGGGCTCTCTCCCCTCACACCTGCCCTTCTGTATTTAGCAGTACATTTTAGCGAAGAATTCATAATACGTGGCAACTATTTTTAGTGGTGGCTAAGCATAACACTATACGGTAAAATGCTCTAAAAGCGTTCTTTTCAAAAACTTATCACTTTAAAGTAATACTATTACCACACTTAATAGCCTCCAATTGACATGTGAATTAAATTATCTCATCAATTGAACTTTGACTCTTGGAATCAGACGCTACACAAGGCCACCGCACGGCAACTGGCGGACAGGGCTTTCTGAGTTCCTTTAAATCTACAGGTTTTCCCATCCCACGTTTCCCCTCACAGCCCACTCCAGCGCTCCCCGCCGTGGGCGCTGCAGCGTGGTTCCGTCTCCTACCCATGAGCAGGCGAGCGAAGGGCTGACGAGACCCGGCTGCGCGCATGGGGTGCGTGCGCGGTGCGCTCGCTCGGGCGCGAGCACGCTTCTTGGCTTCTCAGAGTTTTTTTTCCGGATGGAGCGGTAGCGACCCCTCAGGACCCGACGGGCGCCCGCCCTCAGGCAGCGGCGGCTTCCGCGACCCGCGCGGGGTTGCTCAGCCACGGGGCGAGCCTTCACGCACAGCGCCGCGTTCCCGACCGGTTCCTCCTCTCGCAACAATGGTGTTTTCTTTCCCCTTGATTAGCTTTTAATTGCCACACGCTCCGCATTTTTTTCCTGACGTATGAGTTCTAGAAGGCAGCCAAAAATGGCTCAATGGATAATTTGCTTTTAAAAATTAAACAAAGCCTGGGCCGGCTGCCATTTATCCGAGCCAAGGATCCTCGTGACGCGCTGGAGCCGAGCCATCCCCGGCCCCCGCAGCCCCCTAGGCGCTGGAGCGGCCGCCTTATCTGCGCGGGGGCCCTTCTTTCCTTCCTCCTCCCCGAGGCACCCGCGACGCCCAGGAACTCCGAAGGCCCAGGTCGCACAGCCCGGAGCCCAGCGCCACGCGGCCGCAGAACGCGCGCCCGGCCCCGCGCCGGGGTCTCGCGGCGCCGCGCGCCCAGCCCTCAGCCGCAGCCGGCGGGCGGCCGGGCGGGGCGGGGCGGGGCCTCGCGGCTCCACCCCCGCCTCGGTCTTTAGGGCCGCTCCGCCTGCCGGCGCCGGCCGGAGCCGCGGAGCTGCAGCCACTTCGGAAGAGCCGCCCGGGAGCGAGAGTCCAGAGCGCGCCCGCGAGCCGCCGCCGCCATGGGGAGCCGCGTTTCGCGGGAGGACTTCGAGTGGGTCTACACCGACCAGCCCCACGCCGATCGGCGCCAGGAGATCCTAGGTGAGGTCCGGCCGGCGCCCCGTTATGTGCGAGCGCGGCCTCCCGCCTCGGGGGCGCGCTCTCTCCGCGCAGGCCCTGCGCGGCCCCGGGCGCCTCGGCCGCCGCTCCAACCCCGCCGGCCAGTGGGCCGGGGCCGTGCGGGACCTGCCGGAGCGAGGTGCGGGCCCGCTGGGGAGGGATGCGTCCGCCCCGCGCGGCCCCGACGACCCTACGGCAGGCGCTTCCGGGGCTCTCGGGTGGGCGCCGTTTCCTCCGCGGCTGGAGCGGCCCGGGCGAAGCCTAGCGGCCGGGTGTGCGAGGCCGGGCGTGGTCCTCGGGCATCCCCGGGCCCACACTGGGCCCAGCTCCCGGCGTCAGACCGCGGGGCGGGGTGCTGGTTCGGGCCCTGTGACCCCGGAGGACACGGTCCTGGTGCGCTCCTGCCTCCCGTCCTGTTGATCCTCGTGACCAGCCTGGGACGCAGGAAGGGCAGCTTCATGAATGCTTTCCATCCATCCCGGGCTTGTGGGTGAAAAGACTGACATAAGAGTAGCCGAGCCGGGAAAATCGTGCATTCTAGCCTGCTGCTTCCCTGCCTAAGGCTTCCCTGCCCTAAGGCCTTTTGCACCACACTAGGCCTTGCTGAACCCTCTGTATTTATATAGCGTGTTCAATTATTTCTCCCCCTGGCTACTCTTTTCCCTTTCAAATAAATAAATAAAAGAAAAAGACATCCTTTATCCATTGGCTCACTCCCCAGATGCCCGCAGTAGCCTGGGCCTCGCCGGTTGGTAGCCAGGAGCCAGGAACTCCATCCGGGTCTCCCACATGGGTGGCAGAGGTTTCAAGTCCTTTAGCCATGGTCTGATGCCTCCTTGAGCCATCACCTGCACATTGGCAGGAAACTGGAACACGAGCCAGGACTTGAACCCAGGAGCTCCTGTATGGGAACGCAAGCTTCCCCAGTGGCCTCTTAATCACTTCCCGAATTCCCACCCCTCCCAGGTTAGCGTAGTGAGGTACGTGCAGGGCATTGTGTTGAGTGCTTTACAGACATTGCCCAATTTAATCTTCCCTCTTAGTGTGACCAGGTTGGTGTCTCCATTTTAACAGGTGAAGTAAGAGCTAAGTAAATGCTAAAGGAAAGGTTCAAATCTGGATTAGACTGTCTCTAAACCATGGTGGGGTTTTTTTCAATATTTATTTTTATTTATTGGAAATGCAGAGTTACAGAGAGAGAGATTTTACATACACTGGTTCACTCCCTGCATGGCCACAACGGCCCAGGCTAGGCCAGGCTGAAGCCAGAAGCTAGAAGCTTCATCCGGGTCTCCCAGGTGAGTGCAGGAGCTCAAGCATTAGGGACATCCTCCACTGCTTTCCTAGGCAATTAGCAGGGAGCTAGTTCAGAAGAAGAGCAGGAGCTGGCGCTGTGCTGTCTCAGTGCTGGTTTGAGTCCTGGCTGCTCCACTTCTGATCCAGCTCTCTGCTAATGCATCTGGGAAAGCAGTAGAAGATGGCCCAAGTGCATGGACCCCTGCACCCGTGTGGGAGACCCAGAAGAAGCTCCTGGCTTCGGGCTTCTGAGTGGTCCAGCCCTGGCCATTGCAGCCATTTGGTGAGTGAACCAGCAAATGGAAGATCTCTGTCTCTCTCCCGTTCTCTCTCTCTGTATCTCTTCCTTTCAAATAAATATCTTTTTTTTTTTTTTTTTTTTTTTTTAAGTGGAGCAGCCAGGACTCCAGCAGGCTGCGGCGGCAGCTTAACCTGCTACACTACAGAGCCAGCCCCTAAATCATGTTTTAATCTCTAATACTATTTCTTCCAAAATTGAAGGGACTAATGGGTGATGAGTTGAATATGAAGAATTCTTATACACATTATTTTCCTAGTTTTTCTTAACAACATGTATTTGCTGCTTGAAAAGAAAAACCAAGAGAAGAGCCCAGTTATTGTGGGAGTATCCAGAGTTAGAAATGCATGCTTTCATGAGCAGTGGATCTCATTAAAATGTCGAACACTGAATCAGTACATTAGGAGCATGAATATTTACAGTTGCTTATTAAGGGCAGTTCTTTAAGTGAGCTCAGGTTCTCATATTGTTCCTCTCTATTAAAATGTATATTGCACAAATTACTTACACATATTTGATATGAGATAGCATATGATACATTGTAGCTGTGCCGTATTTACCTGTTGTGGAGGAGTAGTCTTGTAAAAACCAACTTCTGAATACTGGAATTCAGCCATCTGTGTCATATTCAGATGATCAAGGAAGCAGAAAGGTGCAGGCTGATGCTTATCTCAGCCCTGAGCCTTTTTCCCTGAACTTAGGATCACTCACTCTTTACTTGCAAAGCAGAAGGACTGTGTATTTCTCAGTGAAAATAAATTTTCCATGCAGGTGTAAATGCTGCTCAGTGTTGCATTTCAGGGTAATGGAATAACTGTAGAAAGATACTAATCTAGAGATTTGTTTAAATTACACTTAAACGATCAGATATTTCTCAAGTAGGTCAGGTTTTTTGGGGGGGTGAAGAAGCTTGGTAGGACATAGGTGTGACAAGGCCGGCATCTGTCTCTCTGCCCTTGAAATAAAGTGAAACTAAATAAATGTAAAAAGGCCTCTGTTTGGAATTAATAGACCATCATTAGTGGGTCAAATAAGAATAAATCCCAAGAAGGGCTTCTTTTACTGCTGATCTTCACAGAGAGACAGTATGTGATACTTGAAAAGTTTCATGGAAAATGGAATTAAAAAATAAGTTTATTTGGTGCAGGAAAAATGAAAATCCATGTGTAGTTTTTTCATGACACATCTAATATCCCTGATATACATGGGGGTTTTTTTGTACCAAAGTAAACTTTTACTTCCATTTTCTGTGAACTTTTTGAAGTACCTAAATAATAGATTTAATGATACTTAATCACATTCACCCATTTCAAGTGTACATTTTAGTGTTTTTTGTATATTCACAGTTACACAAGTACAATCCCCAATTTCAGAACATTTCATTGTCCCAGAAAGATCCCTGCACCTGTTGGTGGCTGGCTTCATAGACCCTAGTCTCACCCTAGTTCAAGGCACCACTTACCTACTTCCTGTGCCTGGAAACTTGCCTATGCCGGACATTTGATAGGAATGAAATCCTGTAGTACGTGTTCCTTTCAGACTGCCTTCTTTCACTTTAAGGTTCATCCGTGTTGTAGTGTCTGTCCTTACCTCCTTCCTGTTTTGGTGGCTTTTACTTATTGGTTGGCTTGTTTCCTCTTTTTTGGCTATTGTGACAGTGCTGTTGTGAGCGTTCATGTGCAAGTTGATGGTTGGATATATGTTTCCATTTCTCTTGAGTGGCTCTCTTGGAACGGAAGTGCTAGTGCTTGTCTATGTTTAACATCTGGAAGAACTTCCAAACTGTTTCCCAAAGCTGCTGTACCATTTCACATTCCCATCAACAGTGTGTGAAGGTTACTGTTTTTCCACATCTGAAGAGTTTCATAGGTTAAGTCTGTGATCCATTTAGAGTTAATTTTTGTGTATGATGTAATGAAGGGATCCAACTTCATTCTTTTTTTCTTAAGATTTGTTTCTTTACTTTTTATTTGAAAGAGTTACAGAGAGAGGGAGACATCTTCTATCTGCTGGGTCACTCCCCAAATGGCAGCAACAACCAGGAGCTTCTTCCAGGTCTCCTGCATGGGTGGCAGGAGCCCAAGAACTTGGGCCATCCTCCTCTGCTTTCCCAGGTGCATTAACAGGGAGCTAAATTGGAAGTGGAGCAGGGGCAGGCACCATGGCTCACTTGGTTAATCCTCCGCCTGTGGTACTGGCATCCCATATGGGCATCAGGTTCTAGTCCCGGTTGTTCCTCTTCCAGTCCCGCTCTCTGCTGTGGCCCGGGAGGGCAGTGGAGGATGGCCCAGGTGCTTGGGCGCCTGCACCCACATGGGAGACGAGGAAGAAGCACCTGGCTCCTGGCTTTGGATTGGCGCAGTGCACTGGCCGTTGCGGCCATTTGGGGAGTGAACCAACGGAAGGACGACTTTTCTCTCAGTCTCTCTCTCTCTCACTGTCTATAACTCTACCTGTCAAATAAATAAAAAAATAAAAAAATAAAAAACTTAGAAAAAAGGGAAATGGAGCAGCCAGGACTTGAACTAGCATCCATGTGAAATGCCAGTGCTGCAGACAGTGGCTTAACCTGCTGCACCACAACACGGGCCCCCTAACTTCATTCTGTTGCACATTAATAATCAGTTCTAGAAAAGACTATTTTTTCCTCATTTAATTTTACTATCACCATTGTAGTACTCATTTTTATAGACTGTACCAGCTTTGTGAAAATTCAGTTCAGAATTCCATGGAGCAAACTGACTAATCTGGAAGGACTGTGAGTACAGGTTTGATTTTAGGATTCCTCCAAAATGTGTATTATTCTCTGCCATTCCTTGTCAGAGGTGTTAATTTCATTAGGTTTTGTAAAATAAGGTGAATATGCTGGAGCTTTGTCTAATTAAACATAGAAACAACATTTTAATACAAAAGAATATGGAACTCCTAGATTTTGAGGTTAGTTTTTCCTACATAAATTCTCAAACTGTTCGACATGTTGTTTTATAATTTTACTAGCAGAATAAACTACTGTGGTAAATACTTAATAAAGTCCAAGGAGTATTATTTGAAGAAAAGGTTAATG